CCCATGCAACTAAGAGTATACTTCAATCCAAGCTGACCTGAAGTATCTCATTTCTATTCATTTGCCTTTTGATTTTATTACCATCAGAAATTGAGTTTGCCCAATACCTCATCTGAATACATGGTGTATTAATAAGCCCCATGGCTTTACAACCTGCTACCCTCTTTTCCTCACGTTGTGGGAGGCTGTGTTTCTTACTTCCAGGTCTTTCTCTAAGTTTTCTATTATGTCTAAGAAAGGCTCCAAGAATCCATCATTGATAACAGAAGAATGACAGTGAAGTGGGAGAGCCAGGTTCTTGTCTCTTGGAGTCGAAGAATGAAACTCATGGACAAAGGAGAGTGAGTAAATTGATAGAAGTTTATTTTTAATTTTTTTAAAATTTATTTATGATAGTCACAGAGAGAGAGAGAGAGAGAGAGAGAGAGGCAGAGACATAGGCAGAGGGAGAAGCAGGCTCCATGCACCGGGAGCCCGACGTGGGATTCAATCCCGGGTCTCCAGGATCGCGCCCTGGGCCAAAGGCAGGCGCTAAACCACTGCACCACCCAGGGATCCCCGATAGAAGTTTATTAAGTGGGGATACAGAGAGAGCTCTCAGAAGTGACAGCGGTCCTGACAGGGTTGTCCACCGAAGGTTTATTTGGCTGACCTTTTTTTTTTTTTTTGATTTTTAAAAAATTTTTTTAAAATTTTATTTTTTATTTTTATTATTTATTTATTTATTTATTTTTATTCAAGAGAGACACACACACACAGAGAGAGGCACAGACACAGGCAGAGGGAGAAGCAGGCTCCATGCAGAAAACCTGATGTGGAACTCGATCTCAGGTCTCCAGGATCACACCCTGGGCTGAAGGCAGCGCTAAACCACTGAGCCACCCGGGCTGCCCTGGCTGGCCTTTTATAGAAAACCTGACTAGAGAGTTTATGGCCTTGAGATTTCTTGTGCCAACTTGAGTGAATGACATATAGGTGTCTTTGAGTCTCAGTAATTACTTGGTAGCCATCAAAGGAAGATACTCCCTAATGTTTGGGAGTCAGGGGGCCACATTTACTTCCTTATTTCTGTTTTTCTTGTATCTCAGTATCCTTGGAATTTATAGGAGCCTGATTCTGAGGCCTCTCAGTGTCCTTGGGATTTACAGGAGCCCAGAGATTGATGGGACTGACTCTGGGCCTTTCCCTTATCTTTTCCTGCCTAGCCCCATCTGTCCCTAACTCAGCAGGAAATGCCAGAGTTGTTACAGATACCCTATTACACTTAAGGTCTATACAGTAAGTCTTAAAGCAGGTTCATCCCAAAACTAGCATCTCTACAGAAACCCTATGAGTGAAGAACTTGTTTGTTAGTGACTTTAGGGCACCTCACTAGTGATTCTACCCACTTGGCTCATTATAATGGGCTCTTGACTATCATCTACAAGGAATTCCTGACAGCTACTGCCTAATGATGCTTGGGGAGCTGGCCAAGCACACAGTGGGCAGGGCACTGTGTCCTGTCACCAAGTACACCAGCTACAAATGAGGAGCTTTTTTAAGAGAGAGAAAGCTCAAGCAGGGGTCGGGAGAGGCAGGGGGAGATAATCTTAAGCAGGCTCCACACCCAGCATGGAGGCTGACAAGGGGGCTCAATCTCACAACCTTGAGATCATGACCTCAGCTGAAATCAAAAGTCAGGAGCTTAACCAACTGAGCCAGCCAGGCACCCCTCAAAGTTTTTTTAGGAGGACACTAGAGCATCCTAAACCACACTCTTTTCAGAGCCAATTATACTGTCACATTAAGAGCTGTATTTCATCTGTTTATTTATTTATTTATTTATTTTTTGTTGTTGTGTTTGGATTTAGAACTCTTCCCTGTTTTTTTTGTTTGTTTGTTTTGTTTTTTGTTTTTTTCAGTAAGCTTGAGTTTGTTTTGATCTTTTCAATAAGCTAACTTGGAATGATTTTAGATTTACAGAAAAGTTGTCAAGATAGAGTTCCTGTATGTTTCTCACCCAGTTTCTTCTATTGTCAATATTTGTGCATTTGTCACAAGCAAGGAGCTAACATTGGTACATTGCAGTAAATTGAACTCTAAATTTTGTTTGGATTTCAATAGGTTTTACCTAACTTGTCTTGTTTTTTTCCTCTGTTCCAGGATCCAACCCAAAATACATGACATTTAATGGTCATGTCTCCTTAGCTACCTCTGGGCTAAGATTTGTCAGAATTTCCTTGGTTTTGATGACTTCAATAATTTTGAGGATTTATAGTCCAATATTTTGTAGAATGTTCCTCAACTTGGATTTGTTTGGTATTTTCCTCCTGGTTTAATTGGGATTATGGAGTTGTTGGGAGGAATAACAAAGAAGTGAAATGTCCTTCTCAACATATCATACTAAAGGCACATGCTATCAAAAAATAATAAATAAATAAATAAAGTAAGTAAGTAAGTAAGTAAGTGGGGGGGAAAAGGCAGATGCTATCAACATGGCTTATCACTGAACACCTGGCTGAGATAGTGTTTGCTAGATTTCTCTACTACAAAGTCACTTCCTTTCTCCTGTGCCTTTCCATACTCTGTGCTTTGGCAAGGCTGTTTTTTTTTTTTTTTTTTTTTAAGGCTGGGGTCTTAAACTCTACTGGCTTGATGGAAGTGTATCTATGTAAATTATTTAGAACTTTTCTATTTAGATTTTTCACATATCCCTCATTTAGACGATTATCTATTATCTATTATCCATTATTTTTCCTTGATTTTAAAATTTCACATACAAATTGTAATTGTTGTGATCTAAACATTATCTAATTTTGTTCAACATACCTGTGCAATTTTTCAGTCTTCAAAATTTTTCCTTCCTTTTGTACCCTCCCCAACTGCATGTCCTAATCAATATTTATGTACATTAAATCAAGAGATGGTTAAATTTTTCATAACCCAATTTCCCCTAATCAACATATTATGTACTTTAGCCTCATCCTTTAACTTTTTATAGAACTTTATACCTTCAAATCTGCTTCTATACATACCCTATGTGTAGATCTCAAGTGTCTGGAATGGCTTTTTTTTTTTTTTTTTTTGAAAACCAGTGAGATTATTTTTCTTTTGGATAAGGTAGACTACTGAATATTTTGCAATTTTGCATTTGATAGTCTAAATGTTCATTTGTTTTCCAATTTCTTAGTGTTCACAGTACAAACAAATGAACTGAAAAACTATTTTATTGTAGTTAAAATTTTTGAAAAGGTTGGCCAAAATTTCTTAATAATTTCAAATAATTATGACATTCTTGTCATATTCCTCACTCTTATAAGACTGACATTAGTATCTCTCCATCACACCAACCTTTGTTTTGATATATGTTGTTCTACATTTTAAGAAATGATTTTTCTCCTTTATATTAAAAGTGTGTGAAGCCACCCAGATCAAATATTCACATATGCCCTATATTTTAAGATTAACTTGCTATGTTTTGGTTTACTAATATGTCCGAAGATTTCAGGATGCTGAATGATACTAGCATGTCTGAAAGGAAATTCCTTTTTAGAGGATATTTTAAGAAAACCTTGCATCCTTGTTAGATCTATGTGCTGTAGAACTGTCACCAGTTAAAGCTACAAGATTTCACTTGTCCTGCCTTTTTTTTTCTTTTTCTTTTTTTTTAAGATATTAAGTAAGTCCCAGAGCCTGTAAAGGTGAACCCACTGGGGCTGGCTGGGGGAAAGGAGGAAGCTTGCTCCAGAAGGAACTGTCTGAGGGATCATAAGGGATTTCTAAATATGGGAAAAGGGAATAAATCATTTGGTGAAGTCAACTGTACATACTTCTTTGTAGGTCTAAAGAAAGAACGAAGCTTTTATATAACAGGAATCCAATTCTTCAGGGATACCAAAAGGAAAAAAATTTTAAGGTTTTTGTTTATTTATTCATGAGAGGCACAGAGAGGGGGGTGGCAGAGACAGGCAGAGAGGAAGAAGCAGGTTCCATGCAGGGAACCCGATGCGGGATTCAATCCCAGAACTCCAGGATCACGCAGTGGGCCGAAGGCAGGCACTAAACTGCTGAGCCACTCCGGGATCCCCCCAAAAGGAAATTTTTAAGTCCCTTTTGGTGCAACCCAGCTGGAAATTAGCATGTAATTGAGCCTTGCTGAATAAAAGTTTAACCTTCAAAAAAAAAAAAAAGATTTTAAGTAACTTCTACACCCACATGGGGCTAGAACTCGAAACAGTGAGATCAAGAGGAGTTGCATGTTCCAGCCAGGGGTCCCCTCCTGTTTGTTCTTATTCAATCATCACTTAAGTATAGTCCTTAACTCACTGAAATACTAGCATTAAAGTTGCCTTGTTTGCAGGGCACCTGGGTGGTTCAATCTGTTCGGCTCAGGTCACGATCTCTGGGTCTAGAGACCAAGCCCAGGTAGGGCTCGGGTTGAGTGTGGAGCCTGCTCGGGATTTTCTCCCTTTTCTCCCTCCTGCCCCACCCCCATACTCTCTTGCATGCCCAGGCTCGCTCTTTTTCTAAAAACATTTTTAAAAAGTCACCTGTTTACATTAGCTGAGAAGAGAAGTGGTGGTTAAGAGTTTGTGGTTTCTCACTCCAGTATGTGGTAACTAAACACCTTGCTGTTCCAGGAGCCCGGATGGCGCAGTCGGTTTAGGTGAAGGACTCTTGGTTTCTCCTCGGGGTCTGGGATCAAAGCCTGCATAAGGATCTACGGAGAGCCTGGAGCCTGCTTCAGCTTCTCTGCTCCTACCCCTACCCTTTTAAAAAACCTAACTCTGCCCACTTACCAGGAAGGCTTGGGGAGAGCCTAGTTAGTAGAACCAACGCTCATTTCAGTATGCTGGGATTCTTACCAAGATTCACGGCATAGGTACACGCATGTATACACATCACATATATGGCAGCACATGCACAGCCTTCACTGATCATTTGGGTGGCTCTGAAAAGAGCCTTTGGTTTTTCTTCTCACAACGTTCAGATCACTCACTGGAATTCAGGACTTGGAAGTGCTACTTGCTTTGGACTTTGTGGTGGTGGCTCTCAGTCTTCTTGGGCAGCAGCACGGCCTGGATGTTGGGCAGGACGCCGCCCTGCGCGATGGTCACGCGGCCCAGCAGCTTGTTGAGCTCCTCGTCGTTGCGGATGGCCAGCTGCAGGTGGCGCGGGATGATGCGCGTCTTCTTGTTGTCGCGGGCCGCGTTGCCCGCCAGCTCCAGGATCTCGGCCGTCAGGTACTCCAGCACGGCCGCCAGGTACACCGGCGCGCCCGCCCCGACCCGCTCCGAGTAGTTGCCCTTGCGGAGCAGGCGGTGGATGCGGCCCACCGGGAACTGCAAGCCGGCTCTGGACGACCGTGACTTGGCCTTAGCACGTGCTTTACCACCTTGCTTCCCGCGCCCAGACATCACTAGGCCGATCTACCAGGGAAGACGACAGCCGCCAGAAGCGCTACGCGGCCTATTTATAGCCTGACCATAGATTGTGAGTTGCTCTCTGATTGGCTGATGGCCATCTGGCCAATCAGAAGGCCTGGCCAGAATCACCTCATTTACATTCACGCCACTCTCCACTAGCCAATCAGACGGTGTCTGTTCAGTGCGTCACTTCAGCGCTGTGCCTATAAATACCGCTCTGCCGAAGCCTTAGCGCTTTTCGGTTACTCGGCGCAGACGGGAGAGCCGAGCCGTTAGAGCTGGACCTAGAGAGCTGTAACGCTAGAGCTGAGCACTCACCATGCCGGAGCTGACTTCGAAGGGCACCATCATCTCCAAAAAAGGCTTCAAGAAAGCTGTAGCCAAAACCCAGAAGAAAGAGGGAAAGAAGCGCAGGAGATGCCGGAAAGAGAGCTATTCTATCTACATCTATAAGGTGCTGAAGCAGGTGCACCCCGACACGGGCATCTCGTCCAAGGCCATGGGCATCATGAACTCGTTCGTCAACGACATCTTCGAGCGCATCGCGGGCGAGGCGTCGCGCCTGGCGCATTACAACAAGCGCTCGACCATCACGTCCAGGGAGATCCAGACGGCCGTGCGCCTGCTGCTGCCCGGGGAGCTGGCCAAGCACGCCGTGTCCGAGGGCACCAAGGCCGTCACCAAGTACACCAGCGCCAAGTAAACCAGCGCCAAGTAAGCGTCTTTACAGCTAACTAACTCAAAGGCTCTTTTCAGAGCCCCTTACATGCTTTTTGGAGAAGGGCTGTGGCCTTCCTCCGAAAGGTCACAGATTGTGCCAAGCTCAGCTGCTAGTTCTGTTTGAACAGTGCAACTTGCATAGCCATACTTGTAACTGAAGCTGATTATGCAAGTACTCTTCCCAACGGTGCTCAGCTGCATGTCCATCCTAAGTGTCCGTATTTTTCATTAGAACCTTGACCTTGTCAAAATCCGGAGCAATTCTCCAAGAGTTCTCTGAAAAACATTTATCTGGAGTATTTGTAATATATTTACGTAGCTGGTGGGAAGGCAGCTCACAAGGGATGTAGCTGGCCTTTTCAAAATCTTTGTGGTTTAAGCTGGAATCCAAGCACTTGTGATTTACAAATGTATATATACTTTGCAATTAAATAAGCTTTTGTACCACTTGATAAAATATCTGGACACACAAAAATTGTAAAACTAAAATGCTCCGCCGTTCCGTGCACAGTGAGCTCACCTCTGCAGAGTATCTTGCATACCTTAGCTGGAATTCCCTCCAGGAATTGACCTGGAGGGTCTGTAACCTGCTGTTAAGAGCAGCATCTCTAAACTGGGATCCCAGTCAACCAAGGAAGACTGGCAAACAGCAGATAGCACATAGCTTCCACATCCCTGTCAACTGCGACCACTCTACAGGCTACCCTGAATATCCAAAGCCTCAAGGTTGCTTGGGCTAAAAGAGTGCTAATAAAAACCTCTCTTCAATAGTGCCTGGGAGGCTCAGTGTGTTAACCCTCTGCCTTCAGTTTGCCTCATGGTCTCTAGGTCCTGGGATCAAGCCCTGTGCCGAGCTCTCTGCTCATCAGGGGGAGTCTGCTTTTCCCTCTGCCCCTCTGTGCCCTCTCTCAAAATCTTTAAAAAAAGGTCTTCAGACCAAACCGGACACAGCTTTTACCTCAGATTATGCTTTTTTGCTTGTTTTCTCACTTTTCACAAACCACATCAATTACTGGCTAATCTCTTATTTTTAAAAATGTGTTTATTTGCTATTTATTTTTGGATTTATTTTACATTACAGTTTTATTGTAATGAAGATTTTTAAAAGTTTAGCCACTTCTCTTTTTCCTACATATTTTTTTCTAGGTTTTTCATTATTTAACCTTTCATCTTACACTGATTCACTATTTTTATTTTTCCTAGCTTCCTTAATGGGGTGCTTACTTCATAGACAATTCTCACACTGCACAGTTTTAATATAAGTGAATTTCAGTTATTACAGTCCAGTTAAATAACCAATTATCCAACAACACAGTTCAAATTTTAGTAGTGAGTAGTTGCATAAATTACAAACTTCAGTGCTGGGTCTTCGGTTCAAAAGTCACTGCACAAATAACAAATGTACATCATGTTCTGTCATATGACCTATCACGTCACTTATTTTAAAATGTGTTGGTTACTAGACACTGTATACATTGCCCGTTTATGCACAAATAGAAAACATGTACTTTTAGTTGCCACTTTGTCTTCCAGTGATAAATTTACATGATAAGAATTGATCATCAAAAGAGGGATTTGGCCATCAAAATGAAAATATAACAAAAAAATGAAAAATAATCCTGGAAGTGGAAATCAAGTTAAATATAAATGGAGTTCTAGAAGAAACTTCTAAGCACTGGGACTGCTGGTATTGTCACTATTGAGAGACCAGCCACATGACCAAGAAGAACTCAGTGAAGGTGAACTTGCTGACACAAATTAGAAAGTGTTTGTGTCAAAAAGGATGAAGATGTTCCAGAGAAAATGACACTGGCAAAAGACTTCATGCTACAAGAATTCTCAAAGATATTTTGCAACATTGAGAATACAAAGAATAAAATGTTGGAATCTGCTGATACCAATTTAGAAGGACACAGGACAATTCAGCAAGGTACAGAAAAGTTGCTCACTCTATCAAAAGTTACATGATGACAAGAAAGTGAGCGTGTTCAACTACTTTCAGTAAGTTTTTTTTTAAAATGACACTTCAATTCTCTTTAATGGCTTTAATATTTTAAATTACAAATATCCTAAATTTTTTTCACTTCCCTCTATAATTATATTAGAGAGTTAAGGGAGTTTTTCATTGCCTGGTTAAAAATGTTTAAAGATTATGGACTAATAATGATTTTTCCCACTGATTATTAAGATTGCTTTGCATTGTCTTTTTTTAAGATTTCACACTACCTGAAGAACTGCCTGTATTTATGCTTTCTTAATAATGTAAGCATTTTTTAAATAAATTTTTTATTGGTGTTCAATTTACCAACATACAGAATTAACACCAAGTGCTCATCCTGTCAAGTGCCCCCCTCAGTGCCCATCACCCATTTACCCCCACCCCCCTGCCCTCCTCCCCTTCCACCACCCCCAGTTCATTTCCCAGAGTTAGGAGTCTTTTTCTTCTCCTTTCCCTTATATTCCCTTTCACTGTTACTTCTATTCCCCAAATGAATGAGAACATACACTGTTTGTCCTTCTCCGATTGACTTACTTCACCCTCCAGTTCCATCCACGTTGAAGCAAATGGTGGGTATTTGTCGTTTCTAATGGCTGAGGAATATTCCATTGTATACATAAACCACATGTTCTTTATCCATTCATCTTTCGATGGACACCGAGGCTCCTTCCACAGTTTGGCTATTGTGGACATTGCTGCTAGAAACATAAGGGTGCAGGTGTCCCGGCGTTTCATTGCATCTGAATCTTTGGGGTAAATCCCCAACAGTGCAATTGCTGGGTCGTGGGGCAGGTCTACTTTTAACTCTTTGAGGAACCGCCACACAGTTTTCCAGAGTGGCTGCACCAGTTCACATTCCCACCAACAGTGTAAGAGGGTTCCCTTTTCTCCGCATCCTCTCCGACATTTGTTGTTTCCTGCCTTGTTAATTTTCCCCATTCTCACTGGTGTGAGGTGGTATCTCATTGTGGTTTTGATTTGTATTTCCCTGATGGCAAGTGATGCAGAGCATTTTCTCATGTGCGTGTTGGCCATGTCTATGTCTTCCTTGGTGAGATTTCTCTTCATGTCTTTTGCCCATTTCATGATTGGATTGTTTGTTTCTTTGGTGATGAGTTTAGTAAGTTCTTTATAGATCTTGGAAACTAGCCCTTTATCTGATGCGTCATTTGCAAATATCTTCTCCCATTCTGTAGGTTGTCTTTGAGTTTTGTTGACTGTATCCTTTGCTCTGCAAAAGCTTCTTATCTTGATGAAATCCCAATAGTTTATTTTTGCTTTTTCTTTTGCCTTCGTGGATGTATCTTGCAAGAAGTTAATGTGGCCGAGTTCAAAAAGGCTGTTGCCTGTGTTCTCCTCTAGGATTTTGATGGAATCTTGTCTCACATTTAGATCTTTCATCCATTTTGAGTTTATCTTTGTGTATGGTGTAAGAGAGTGGTCTAGTTTCATTCTTCGGCATGTGGATGTCCAATTTTCTCAGCATTTATTGAAGAGACTGTCTTTCTTCCAGTGGATAGTCTTTCCTCCTTTATCGAATATCAGTTGACCATAAAGTTCAGGGTCCACTTCTGGGTTCTCTATTCTGTTCCATTGATCTATGTGTCTGTTTTTGTGCCAGTACCACACTGTCTTGATGACCACAGCTTTGTAGTACAACCTGAAATCTGGCATTGTGATGCCCCCAGATATGGTTTTCTTTTTTAAAATTCCCCTGGCTATTCGGGGTCTTTTCTGATTCCACACAAATCTTAAAATAAGTTGTTCTAAGTCTCTGAAGGAAGTCCATGGTATTTTGATAGGGATTGCATTAAACGTGTAAATTGCCCTGGGTAACATTGACATTTTCACAATATTAATTCTGCCAGTCCATGAGCATGGAATATTTTTCCATCTCTTTGTGTCTTCCTCAATTTCTTTCAGAAGTGTTCTATACTTTTTAGGGTATAGATCCTTTACCTCTTTGGTTAGGTTTATTCCTAGGTATCTTATGCTTTTGGGTGCAATTTTAAATGGGATTGACTCCTTAATTTCTCTTTCTTCAGTCTCATTGTTAGTGTATAGAAATGCCATTGATTTCTGGGCATTGATTTTGTATCCTGCCACGCTACCAAATTGCTGTATGAGTTCTAGCAATCTTGGGGTGGAGGCTTTTGGGTTTTCTATGTAGAGTATCATGTCATCGGCGAAGAGGGAGAGTTTGACTTCTTCTTTGCCAATTTGAATGCCTTTAATGTCTTTTTGTTGTCTTATTGCTGAGGCTAGGACTTCCAATACTATGCTGAAT